GGAGTAACAGCAATATAGATCGCTCCTTTGGTTGGTGGGCATCATTGGCCAGGATATCTCTGTAACATTAATTGCCTGGGCTTAGTATACCCCTCTTAGCTCCACATTACTTAGACACATTCTCAAAGCTAAACACTGGCTAGGGACTTCACTAACGGAGAGCCTCATTTTCTTTTTGCTTTTTACTTATCCTTGACAGCTCTCATAACTTAGCATAGATTCATTGGAGCCTCTGATGGAGAACTGGCCCATCATATTCCATATGAAGTTCCTTTTATCCTTGGTATTAAGGATTCATGATGTCATTAAATTTACTATTTTATCATCCCCCCAGAATGCTAAAACATATAAAACCTTTTCCAGCTCGATAGAGTTGCTTGGCCATTTCTGCAGAGCATGTTCTGCTTTTTGAGGATGTGCATTTGTGCTTGCACTCTCTTTGCATGAAGAGACAGACGCTTCAGCAGCCCCTCTGCTGGGGCCCAGGTCAGACGAACGCTCTGTCATCTGCAGCCCAGCTAGTAGCCAGCAACGAATTGGATTCGTCTGCCTTTTGCCTTGCCAGGGGCATCAGCACCCTTAGCTTGCAGCCCATTTCAGAAAAGCAAAATTTGAAGTGCTGTTGGTTTTAGATTTAACTTTTACTGGTAATGTGCACGTATGAGATGTGGTCTCAGGTTATCATCTAAAATAATCCCCTTTATTAATATAGCAGTAATATGCAAGTTATGTCTTTGCATGTGCATTACTTGACTAATGCTGTTTTAAGAAGGAAGAAGCAAATGTTATGAAATTACTACAGTAATTATGTTTAGATTTAGCCCTCTTTATTTCTTTTTCAACTTTTTTTCTTTCCTTTCTTTCTCTTTTTCTATTCTCAGACTTATTTTGGTAAAGCATGGGTATAACGTGACTTTATTCCTTCCTCTTACTTTTCCCACTGCCATTTTACAGCGCTGGTTGAGGATCAAGATTCTGCAGCTTATATTTTCACCTTGCTGTTGCCTGTTGGGTGCTCAGCTCCTGCAGTGGTTACTGTATAGATTGCCTCCCTTCACACGTGAGGGCAAGCACTTCTCTCACTGACTTGTCGGCAAGAGTATTGCACCCGTGAGAGCAGTGCTTGGCCCATCAGGGAACAAGGATGAGGCCCCTTTACAAACGGTTTGGCCGTACGGCTCACGTCCAATCTGCGGTAGATGAGATAAGGGCCTTTGCTTGCCATCTTGACACCTCTTTTTCTTCTCCTGGGAAGATCAGAGTCATTCACCTTCTGTCAGCTTCCAAGGGGATGAAAGGGTGTGTGTTCATTTAGCCCAATCAGTGTAACATGTTCATGACTCCAGGGCTGTTAATCCTCATTTAAGTCTTTGATGACTGTGTTAGGGAGGGAAATGAGAAAATTCCTGCGTGGAAAAGCCCGGCTGAGATGATTGCTGGCATTCCCTTTGCATGGTAAATGGGCTGAGGAGGGGTGGAAATCCGTGCCTGCACAGGAAAATGCCCAGTGGCCTTTTCTGGAGGAGGGTTTTAACCTTCAGAAGGGAGGGTTGCGTGGATCCCTAAGGGTCTTCACAGTTAGTATTGATTATAATAGAAAACACTAGTAATCGGCAGTAATATAAATCTATAAAATAGATAGATACGCTATATTTAAACTACAGCCTGCAAAGCAGCACAGATGGATGAATTTGGTGATAACTTCTCCTTGAGCTTGTGTGCAATGGCTGAGAGCTAAAAATCTAGGTCTAGGAGAGAGACGATTTTATGCACCCGCTGAGGCAAGTCAGCCCCGATGGCACAGTTAGCTGTGCTTTCCCCAAGCGTTGAGTGTCTTCCTGTTAGAGTGATAGGAAATGAGTAAAGCAGCTGAAGTGTTAGAGCAGGAGTGGCTGTATACATATATATAAAAATGTATGTATGGACAAGTTAAACTGGTCAGGCTACTACTAATTTCTGTTGGAATTTGCTTTTTATTCTGTCTCATCCTAAAGTTAGCAAGGGCATTTTGCTTGTCTTGATGGATTATAATGTACTAATAACCTATTTGTTTGTGGTTATAGAAGCCAGGTATAGCTGTGTCAGTGGCTGAGCCATTTTGAAGGGCAGTGATTTGGATGGGAGGAAGCAAACACCTCCCGCTGCCTCTGCCAGCCTGGAGGGGGGAGCTCTGTCTGAGGGGGAGGTGTCAGTGAAAAGCAAGTATGATGCAATGCCTTTGGGAGTGGAAGTGAGGTGAGAAATGAATGCAGTCGTCGGTTGTCAAGGTCTTTTCAACCATGACAGGCAGAGGGAAAACGTGGGAGCTCTGTGTTTGGTTCCTCTACTTCCAGAGCAGCTACCTGCTGGCATCTCCCTCCCTTGCGTCTGGGGCAGAAGAAGAGGACATGGCTCACCGTATAAATCAGCACTCCTCAGCGTGCCTTCTCATGCCTGCACATGACGTGGCCTGTACGTGCCGCCAGCCATGTCACAGCTTGTCTCTCCTGAAATGATGTTCAGTGATGCTTTTTGCACATCAGCATTTACACGGACAAAACACAGTCCCTCTCCCAGAAACGCGCTCTCTAAAACTCGCTCGTTCTTGCACAACCAGACTCTGTCTTCCAGCAGGAGCGACTCCCCGACTTCCCACTGCTGTGGAAACCACGGGGCCACCCGGCTGCCATCTCATGTGTGCGCCACACGCGTGGTCCTAACGCAGACAGCCCCGAGCAATGCCTGCCGTGGTCCCCTGCGCCGCAGGGCCAGGTGCTGGGCAGGGAGGAAGAGTTGGGACTGCAGCATTTTTCTCCATGGGGATGCACAGGCAAGGGGTTATGAAGCTCCATCTCGGGATATCCCTGTTATCTGCGGCCTGACTGTGCTGATGCTGGATGGCACCACGCAGACAGCACCAGCCTGACTTTGATATCACAGCCCGTCCGTAGGACTGATCTGCTCTTGGGCTTAGTGCAGTTTTCTAACCGGATAACAGGCGAGGCTATGTTATTTAATGTCACATCGGAATCCTTTGAGCCTCTGATTCTATTGTACTGTGTAATGAAATACATCCTAAAGAGATTTGGCAGTTTTTGTAACAGGTAGATTTACTCTTTTTAAAATAGACCTAGCTGCATGTGAATAAATATGTGCAGATCTTGTTGACCAGACTAAGCTTAGTTTTGCATCGCTGTTTCAGAGTTTAATCCTTTTGGTTTTGCAGTAGCAAGAAAGCCTGTTTGCCAGCAAAATGTCTAATGCAACTTTATACACTGGCAGGCTGCTGTAAAGGTTACCGTCTTCTATTGTTTTTTTCTTTAGGGTCTTTGAGAGCTTAGAAGACGTAGCTGAGGCTTATGCCAGTAAAAATAACAGGGATCTCCTCATTAACTGTATTGGCCTCCTCCTTTGTTTGCCAAGATTGGATGACTTTGAGTCAAAACAGGAAATGGCTGAATTTAAATCCTGGAACGGATTAACTTTATTGACAGCCGTGGCAGTGTCCTGTGAAGGTTTCCAGTGATGCGACAGCTCCTGGCGTTAGGCAGCTCGCTTTGGCCTCTCGGATCCATGGGGTCTGGAGGTGCCTTTGCTGCGTGGGGAGCACGGGTGACACTGCCCCAGGGCCTCCCCCCGTCTGCAGGGGCAGCAGGCAGAGCCCCCCGTCAGCCATCTCCTGTTAAATCCACAGGGTTTGTGCTGTGGGACTCATTTAACAAGCCTCTTCTTTCCCCAAATAAAACACACTGACCATTACAAGTTTAAATAAATGTCATTTCTCAATTGTCTCTGTTATATTACAGATGAGGCCAACGAGCACATCCGGATGGGTCTGGAAAGCAGCACTGCCCCGAGTCCTGCCTTCCCCAAGCACGCTGCTGGCACAGGAGAGGAGAGGTAACCGCCGCTGCTCGTGCAATGCTCTGGCTGCTGCTCTTCCTTCTAATGAAAATTGAATGCTACCCATAAAATCCTGGTCTTTAACTGAGTTTCCAAGACTGTATAAATAATAGGTTATATAGGATATTTTTGAAATCCTTTTTCCAGGAATTGTCAGAATATCAATCCTCCCCTAATAACTAAGTGCTAATGTGCTTAACCCAGAAAGGTCTTTTCCTGCATGATTTGATAAGGGGTCAGTAAAATGGAAGCTGTCTCTAATGTCAGGATATTCTGGTTAGTTTTTCAAAGTAATTGTGGTTTTGTTTAATTTTTGCGACGGAGCAACACTAACAAAATGAACTGTTTGAGGAAACTGCTCATTTCCTGCTGGTGCCAACCACTGTGTCCAGAGCTCGGCACTCTCCATCAAGGCTTGGTAGGATTTCATGTTGTGCTGACTGAGCAGAAACACCCACTAAAAGCACTCCAACGAGCAAATCGGTGACCTCGCTCAATATTCGTGGACTATGGAGAAGCCATTAAAATATTCATGTATTCATTTATTGTTGCTCCCATCTCCTTTGCACTTTTTTGTCAGCAGAATGAGAAATCATTCTTCACAGGTGGCAATTGCTCCAGTTAAATATTAAATATGGGCCTTGACACTTCCAAACCTCTTGCAGCTGATCATTGGGTGTTGCTTAATGAAGGGTCCAGAGTCAACAAGCCCGAGATGCTCCTGCTTTACCAGCACAGCAGTGGTCCTAATGGGGTTTTTTTGGGTTGATTAAATCCTGAAAAGCTTGCTTTGTTTTTCTCATTCAACCCTAAGCACAAAGCATTGTCATCTGAAATCTGACCAGCTCGATTGCTGTTCTCCATCTAGAGAGCAGCCACCACTAGACACTCCCAAAGGCGGTAGAAACGGTCAAGTAAACTGCCTGTGATAGGTGTTTCTTCCATTTATTTACCAGGCAGTTAGTAATTAAATTACATTCCAAGCATGAAGACTTATATCCTGTACTATAGTTTTGCCCTAACTATTGTTGTCATAATCATTGCTGTAGTTTCTAAATCCTCCATCAGTCTGGTTCTGCCTTTGGCCTGGAACTGGGAGGTGTGGCCTGTTCCTTCCTGGGCCATAGCATGGAAATGCATCTCCCTCCTGCGTGGCTCTTGGGCTCTTCTGGCACTGCTGCTTCCTGTGTTTTTCCCTACGGTTTTCTCCCAGAAGGGGAAAGTCTGAATAAACCTAGAGGTTGACACCATTGTTTTTACTGAGCAAGTTCTGTACTGATTGCAGTGCAACACTTGTCTTTACTCCCAGTTCAGGCCATTTAACATGTTCCCCAGTCCTTCCAAGCAGTAATGGAGAAAATAAATGAAGGCACCAGCTCTGGGCAGCCTTATATTGGGCTGGGTCAGTAGATGAAAGTGGCAAAGGAGCTGAACAGAACTGAGATGAAGTTGAAAACTGCCTGGTCACCCTACCAGGCACATCACTACCACTGATCTCCTTGCTCAGGCATTTCTCCTCTCCCACAGATCCAGCACACCTGCTCTTGATACCACAGAGGAGTGTAAAATCTTGCCAAAACCGAAGCCAAGACTTCCTGTCCCGCTGTCTGCATCACACAAGGTAGTATAGGCACAGCCTCTGCATTTTATTTCGTTATTCCTTGGACCTTCACACATTCTGTACCTACTGGCAGGGGCTCCACAGACTGCCTGCCCTGGTGTCTGTGCTCAAATAAAATACATTTTTCCAGTCTTGCCAGTTTATATACACTGATAGCATTTGTTTTCCATTCAGAGATCCAGTATACATGATGTCTCTTCCTCAGAGAGTGACACTGGAAAAAGTCCTTTTGTGGCTGCAACAAACAGCTTGCATTTGTCTAGAAAAGGTAAGGTTTTTGTTCAGTGAGCCATTGGCGTTTTTGTTACTCAACACTAAACACCAAGAGACAAGATGCTTTTTTGTGTGTGTACAAATGAATAACAAAGAGTATTTCTTACCTTGGCATGTAGGAATGGGCTGCCAACATTTGTATGAATTATGCCCAAGGCAGCAGAGACCAAGAAAAAAAAATCCAATGACTAAAACTTCTCCTGGCTCTCAGTACATTTTAAACTGAGTGTGGCTCACAACTCCTTAACCCACAGATCCAAGTTACCTTCTCTGTCCTGCCTAGAATGTATAGTGTATTATGGCACATAGCAAATAGCCAGTAGGAAAGCTGTCAAACTGAAAACAAAGCTGCAAACAAATCCCCAACTCACAGGAACAATTTAGAGCTCAGTGGATTTTTTTTCTATGTCCTGTTGCAGAGAGAAGGGCTGGGGTTTTCAGGGCTTCCTTCACATGGAAGGAGGCTTGCTAGAGTCTCAAAAGTGGGGAAGAATTAGGAACATACTGGTGGTTTCTGGAAGCTCCCTCTGGCTTCCCTTTGAGAAGCTGCAGCCCAGACCTTCCAGGGAAATACGATGCGATGTGGTGGGACAGGCTGTGAGCATTTGTTGTCGTTGTAGGTCATGGATTATCTCCATTGCCCACCAAGCTTTCAGAGGATGCTGTGCCTCAGCCCAGCAGTGCAGCTGGAGGAGAAGCTGTTGATGGGGCCACTAGCACCACAGTGGGGGCAAAAACTCCACCCGAGGAAACTTATGCTCACAGCAAGATACCAGTTAAGAGGAAACCAAGCAGAACTTTCCCCAGATCCGAGCAGTTTGTGAATCACGTGGGGCCAGCAGAGAACAGCCTCGCAAATAGAAAGCTGCTGTCAAGCCCCAAACCGCTGACCGCAGAGGGGGAAAGCAGCCAGGCTGTGAAGCAAAGCGTGAACTATACAATCTCATCAATGAGTAACAAAGAGGAGGATATCGGCTTCGATCGTGAACACTTCAAGAACTTGAAGAACTTCTGGGAGAAGGGAGCAGACTCTGTGACAGCGGGAAATGTGCCGGAGGACCTGAGCTGGGTGGAGGCAGACGGTAGGCAGTTCAAGCTGTGCCGCTCACTCTCTGTGCAGTCTGGGCAAGGCCAGAACAGCGAAGAAAAACCTGTCATCTTCACCAAAACAAGAACACCCTACAAAAGGACAATAACCTTGTCTTCTAGCGAGGAAGAACCAAGCTATGTAGCCCCTGCAAGGAAGGGCTCGGTTTCCATCGTTCCTAGATCCACGTACGCCAAGAGCAAAGGCAGCCTGGTTACAAGAAATAACTCACTGAGTGAAAGCAATGGAAAGCCGCTGGTGCCAGAGGAAGAAAAGGTGGCACAGCGCTGCTCCAAGAAATCCAGATTGCCTGTGCGAGCGCCTTCCATCAAAATCGAGTCACCTACCAAAGAAGTGTCTGGCAGCATGTTTGAGCCAGAGACGCCTACAGATGAGTTTACTGTGGCAGAAGAGTGCAAGCCCGCAGTGAATTCCCTGGCGAGCAGGGTGCAGATACTGATCGAGCCTGTGCTTTCAGATGGCGAAAACGATGATGAGAAAGAGGAAAGATCTGATTTGGGCACTCATGACAACATGGAAATAAATGGAGAGCCACCTGAGGAAAAAACGTGTGAGGCTTCAGACAAGCAAACACCCGGTGAACCAGCCAGAGAGAGAGAAGCCGTTCAGGGAACGGACTCAGCTGTTTACTCAGGTACTGAGGGCTGTAACCGCACCCTGTGAAATCCCAATAGAGAGTCATCCCTAAGCCGGTTTTCTTCCCTAGCCCTTCCGCATTTTGCACATTTTCTTCATTTGTCCATTTATTCTATATAGCAATTCGTGCAGAGTTAGCGTGTGCGGAATGTGTTTAGCAAACAGCTGTGGAAACAAATCTTGTGTAGCACGGTGCAAGTGTAAAAGGGGGCAATGCCATGTTCCCTTGCCTTCCTCCCCTCTACCAGCCCTCATGCCTTACCTGCAAGCACCTCAGCTCGGGACAGCCCTCCATTTCTTTAGCACTACCTACAACAGGTCACAGGAACTCACTTCATTTCACTCACTGGGAAGACTGTACTTTCTTCAAATGTGGGGCTGGAGGAATTCTTTGTGGTGGTAGAGATAAGTCTGACACAAATAGAAGAAATAAAGTGTGAAGCAAATTGTTTAATAAATACATGGGCTGTTAGGCTACCTTGATATAGGCACTGGCTGTCAGTCTTTAAATGACATTTTGGGTCTTTTGGGAATCCACAAGTGAATTTGGATATTAAACTGCAACCAAAGTGGACTGAACAAGGAGTCTGGTCTTTCTGGGTTCTGATACCATCTTCTCAACCATGATGGTGTCAATAGTATCACTACTTTATCGGTCTCTCTCTGGGTTTGACGGGCTCTTGTAGTGACTGTTAATATGAGCAAAAGTTATTGTTAATTGCAATTCCTTTTACATGTGGGCTCTGACTGCCCACAGCTCTGCTGTCTACCAAGCAAAGACCTAGGAAGAGAGGCTTGCTGTCCTCTTTTTCCAAATTTCCTGTCCTCATGTACCTCGGTAAGACCTATTTGAGAGGATTTTCCATAGACTCATCTGATTTTGATTTTTAACTGTATCATTTCTTGGCTTATTTCCTACCTCTTGTAACATTTCTATGAAAATCCTGAGTTGCACTTCAGGTAAACATAAGTACTTCCTTTCTGTACCAGATCATTCTTATATTTCTCAGGTTTTATGCCTTATTATTACATTCATTTCAGGATGATATTAGCAGATGGCTGTGTTTCACTGGAAGCTCTTTGGAAGTGCTGGTCTGTTTTAGGGACTGGGTAAATCTAGTGTTTACATTTCCCATCATAGCGTGAAGAGTTTTTCTCAGGGAGAGACATTAAAGCACACTGGTGATTTGAAAGCAGCCCTGCGTAATGTAACTGCAATGTGCTCTAAGCAGAGTGAACAAGCCAGGAGAGACACACACACGCGTGCTTGTTGACACACTGCCCATTTGTGTGTGTTTATTTACCGTGTTGATTTGGCTTTTCATGTATTCCAGAGGAAGATGGGGATCATTCACCTACCGCTCGGGCATTGGCCCGGGCAAATAGCATTAATCTTGCAAAGAGCATGGTGAACATTTACACAACCACAGAGAGTGAGTAGCATCTTTCTTTCTCCTTTTTGGTTTACATTCCCTGAAGGTAAATGTGTTATGCCCGAGTTCTGCATCCCTGGTGCTTCTGCGCACGTACCAGGCAAGGAAAATGACATATTGTTTCATCATCAGATTAGAGAGCTTACAGTGCCTAAAATTTAATTCAGAGCCAGGAAATTGCAGCTAGATTGATGGTATGTTACTCGGTGTCTTCAGCAAAAAACACAAGGGATTCAAAGGGTTGGCACGAAGCTTGTCCCCGTCTCTCCTCTTCCCCCACCGAGTACTGTGGGAACTGCATGGCACCTGCGCAGTGGATTAATCGGAGGTGCCAGAGCTGGCACCCAGCATGCGAGTCACGCCACAGACTCCTGTCACACGCTTACTGGGCTTGCCGTGCTCAGCCTGGGCCTCTCACCCAGAGCGGACCCCATTTGCTGGCCTGGTCTCCTCAGCTACCAGCTGGGACATACTTTATGGTGGCAGTTTCTCCCTGAGAAACCAAGACAAGCTAAGGAGAAGGCAACCAAGAAAGCAGCAGCAAACCTGAAGAAGCCCATGGCCAAGAAACCTGTCTGTGCCACCAAGAAGCCCAAGAAAGCAGCAGCCAAGGAAGGGGGCCTGAAGGAAGGCAGTGGCAGCCTCTGTGGCTGAGAAAGCAAATAAAAGTCCCCAAAACTGGCAAGCCCAAGAGGACAGCTAAGAGCTTGCCTAAAACCAAAGTGATAAGGCCAAGGCTGCCAGGACTGAGGTGAGAAGGCTGGGAAGGCAATGCCCGAGGAAGGGTAAAGCCGCTTAGAGGAAACAATCGAGCCTGTTTAAGTAAACCCGACCCCTGGTTATGAGAGGGAGGAGAGTCCCCTTCGGGGCTCTGTCGAAGGCAGCCTGCGGGTGGGACGCGCTGCATTGCCCTGTGACTGTGCCCACCCCGTCTGGTAGCCTCGTGCCAAGTGCATGCCCCGTCGTATGGTGCAGCAACGTGTCATACAGCACAGTGGCTCGAAGCTTCAGGTCCCGCATGCATTGCCGTTCAGTGTCGCGGTCTTCACACAGATGGCCGAGATTTTAGCCTCCCCTTATTAAAGTTTATTTAGAGCCACAAACTTCATCTTCAGAAACCCTCCTCTACAGAGTGACACTTACTTGTTTGCAGTATAACAAGTAGTCTGTGGAGAGGGCTAGATTTAATGCTTTGCTCGTGTTTGGAAATAAAAATAGTAAATATCAAATGCATGGTAAATCATATAAAAGGTCAATCATATAAAAGGAAAACGCCAAAGAAGCTCTTGGGCATTTTGAGCACTGAAGAATGTATCATCATGGCTAACATGCTAAACAAGTGTGTATATGTGCATGCATGTTTATGCACATATATCTTCTAAAAAACAAGTTCTTCTGGGATGAAGATAGTCATCTTCAAGGGAGTTATTGAGGAAAGATAAAGATAGAACAAGTAGGTTTTATTTAGACATTTAAGCAGTCCAGTAACCATCCTTCTAAGTTGAGATGGAGCTTTCTGACTTTTTTCTTTTAGATATCAGGCTATTGTCCACTTCTTTGTCTAGCAGAGTATTTGAGAGGTGTATGCAATGGTGAAATTATAGGTATAAATATTTTACAGCTCTTTTGTACAGGGCAATATGCTATGAGATGAAAATGTGAGCATGTTTGGTTTCTTTGACAAGGAGGCAGATCTGTATGGTTTTAGTCTAAATTAAATCTACACAGAGAAAGTGGTGCAAACAAGATGATACACATCCTTAGGTTAATAAGTGAATTAAATTAGCCACTAGAGGGAGTTTGCACACTCCCACGCATTGAACGAAAACACATTGAAAATAGCTTTAAGATATTAGCTAGCAGTTTTTGTCTTGGGGAGGGTCAGCTTCAATGGCAGACAACACAGATGAGGCAAGTGGGTGGTACTCCAGTGCCTCCCACAAGCTTTTCCTCCTTCCTTGTGCCCTTAAACAAAAATGTGACTTTCTTATATTTTCCTGACTGTGACAAGATATCTTGATGCCTTTTTTTGTTTGCACCTACAGCATACAATAAACCTCATTTGATACCCCATCAGTTTCTTGAACCTGAAAGAGTCAAAGAGCTGAGCAGATCCTCTCCTCTCCTGTTGTCTGAGGTAGGCTAGATGCCAGAAATGGCTGGAGTAATGTTCACAGCATCCCCTGATAGATGAGAATGTTTCTCCTGAACACCGACAGTACTTGCTCTAGAGCATGCCTTGGTTATGGCATAAAGAAATGAGAAAAGCCTTAAGAAAAAAAAAAAACAAACGAGACCAGCCCTTCTATCCTGGAGGAGTTCTAGTGTTTCCCTCTGTCTCAAACCACACTGTTCTGTGCCCTTCCCAAGAGCCCAGGCGGTTGCATGCAGCTCTGTTTGGAGGCAGTTAATGATGACGTTCGCTGCCGGTCAGAGGGAATGCCTCTGGGGAGACTCCTTGCGCTCTCCTCCACTCTCCTAACCTGATCGCTGCTTAATGGGACTCTGCTGAGCTATTGGTTTTTCTCTGTAGTGTTGCAAAGCGCTCATACGGCAGAGCTTAAAGATGCTTGTTATTTTCTGAGCAGACTGAATCAGACACGGCTTCGGAAATCAGCTTCCAGTTTAACAAGCACAAAAAGACGCCTAGCATTGGCAGCCACTCGTCCGACATGGCATCTGTCTCCTCGGTAGGTATTTAACACGTACGTCTTGCTAGACAGGGTTTCTCAGTCAGATGCGGTGACACTGCATTTAGGCTGATACTGATGATGTGGCCTCCGGAGTATCCTGTTGGTTTCTGCATGGTACATTATTAAAAGAATGGTGATGGTTAATTACTTACTTGCATTACAGGAGTGTCTCCAGGTACCATCTCAAATGAGAGACCCACTGGATCATTATTAGACAAATTCCCAGTAAGCGATAGCCCCCGCTCCGAAGTGCGGATGCTCTGAAGCCTGGCAGCATGCAGGAGAGAGGGGTGGCCTTTTTCTGGGTGGGGAAATAAGCACACAGCTATTACATGACATCTTTGTGGTCCAGCTCCGAGAGAGCTGGGACTGCAGACGGGTGCCCTCTGCAAGCTCATCCTTCACTTTATCAGCAAATTCGAGGGAACTTGGACAGCAAAAGCGTGATGTAGAGCTTCAACTTCTAAGGAAAGCTGAAAAGAGCTGAGTGTGTTTAGTTGAGCATTTTTAAAAGATTCCTTCAAGACTGTTTCATGGCATCTGCTTAGAGGTGCTTGAATTTGCTGTATTACTGCTGTAGGTATCTCCAAGGTGTATATGTGAGATTTAAAGAATATATGTGAAGCAAAGCTGGTAGGGAGAGGTCATGGATGTAGATAAATATGTTAAAAAAAACCTTGAACTTTGGGGCACGTGAGTCCTCCTTCTAGTCTGGAGAGTCTGGGAGCCATAAATGAGCCTTTTGTGTCCAAATCACACAGGTATTCTTGAAAATCTCACTCAGGATTCTCTGCTGGGGGGAGTATCCTGATGGATGGTAAATGCAGCTCCAAGGACTGAGAGGAGATGTTTAGCAGGCTCTTCCAGGTTATAATAGGATGACGTTCAGAACCAAAGGAAGTAGGGGAAGACAGAGAAGAATTGGGTTAATTACTAGGAAAGTCTTTTGATAAATGTTCATGACTGTACCACAGAAAAGTGCCAAGAGGGTTAATTATTTGCTTTGTAAATGGCATTAGCTTTTATGTTATCCCGTCAGGAATCATGAGAGATTGGTGCAATAGAAAATTCTCTCATCTTTCTGGAGCTGTGTTTTGTTTCTGCTTCATCACTTTCTACCAGTGAAAGACAAAGCCTTGAAAAAAGAACCCCAAGGCCTATGGGCAAATGCAGTTTGTTCTGGGAAAGCAAGTGACTCTTGGGTGCCTAGCTCCCGATTTATACCTGTAGAAACATCATTTTGCTGTGCTTTTGTGGCACGTAGATGCACACAGGCTGTCTCTGGTGGGACAGTGGTTCTTCTGGACAGGGGTTATATCTATTTCTGTTTTGTACAGCTCCATGCACGTTGTGAGCAAGCAACAAGATAGTAATAGGTTTTCCTATATTTATATTCTGATACGGTTCTTACTAGCCTATTTTAAAAATTGATTGACAATTGTGTGACTATATCTACCAGAAATAAGTTTATATACAGATAGTTCAGGTTCTCTCAATATATTTCTTTCTTAGTGATGAGACTGGGTCAGGGTAGCAGCTGTTTGTACTGCAGGCATAGGGAAAGGGAAGAGATTTGTGTGGCCCCTCAGTAATATTTGACTCCGTTTCCCAAAGTTTTGGGATTTAGGGGTGAAAAATCTTCTGCATTTATTGAGCATTCAGGAGAACAGCGCTTCTAAGTCCTGGTCTAGGATAACACATCCTTGTGAGACCCTTATTCGGGTTCCCCAACCCGTGCTTGTTTGAGCACAGCCGCAGAGGTGTACCATTGCTGTGTCGAGGACACAATACTACACAAGGGCGGAAATTGCAGGTTATTTCTCTGGGAATGCACTTTCCAGACTATCATCTTTGTCCAGAAAACAGGTCAGGAGGGTGCCTATTGCATTGGCACTGACCTTGCTCTTCCAACTGGCAGGTGAGTGGCAGCGTGCTCAGTGTCTACAGTGGCGATTTTGGGAGTGTGGATGCCCAAGGTACCGTGGAGTTTGCCCTAGACTATGACGAGAAGAACCGGGAGTTCCAGGTTCATGTGTCCCAGTGCAAGGACTTGGCTGTCGTGGATGAGAAGAAAGGCAGATCTGACCCGTGAGTGACGCTTTGGTGCCTTGTGACTTCTACATTGCTGAATTTTGTGTTCTGGAGGATTTTTTTTCTTATGTTTTCTCTTTTTAAATACCATGGTTTCTTCCTTTCTTCAGACTTCTGGTGCATGCTTACTGCTGGGACTTTCCTAGCTGGTGGTTCTGGAGCCACTGGCATCAGTAAATATGTTGCCACAGACTTAAATTTGAACAGATTGAGGAAGCTTTGATCAGTACAAAGACAGTTCCTATTATCACTGGACTGTGTTCTCTCTGCGTCCATGTGAACCTTGGTCTCCTCATGGTGAATACACTTTGGTAATAACTCCGGTGATGTAGACACATATCTATATGAAAAGGAAGTCCGTAAAGAAGTGCTGTTAGGGGCACAATGGTAGTTGTACAGAGGTTAGTGATCTCTAGTTTGAAAGATGATGAAAATGAGCTTGGATTTGAACCTTGAGAGAGAGACTTAAAGACTTTCCACCTCTTTCCTCCTCTCTAATTTCACCCTGATTTTGAATGCACAGAGATGCTATAGTTATGGGCATTTCAGAAAATGGATATATGGCCTTGCTGGCTTCCCATATTACCTAGACAGCTGCCTGTTCTGAATGTTGGTGGCATCCACCCATATCCAGTGAGATTTATAACTTCACGTGCAAGCCAAGTTAATACCCTAGCAGGTCTCCTAATTAGTTTTGCCTTCAAAGAGTCGACTCCAGGTCTTTTGTTTGCATGTCACCGTTCACAAGTGTTGCCCGCTTATTAGAGCTTGGCGATACGGAACAATATCCAGATAGAGTTTGTTTTCATTTCCAGGTATGTTAAAACTTACCTGCTCCCAGACAAAGCTAGAATGGGTAAGAGGAAGACTTCAGTGAAGAAGAGGACAGTGAATCCCATTTACAACGAGGTGTTACGGGTAAGAACAAATACATGCTCTGAAAACCTGTGTTGTAGCAGGCACCCGTACCACGTCAGGTCTGGAAAGATCCTGCCTTCTTGGCCAGGCTTCTTCGCCTGCCTCCCGTCAGCGCTGCATGGCTCTTCCCCTGGGTTTCTCTGCACCCATCTGTGTGGCACCCAAGATTTCTCTGTCAAAACCGCACAGTGATCTTTGGATGAGATAGGGAGCTGCAGCCTGCGCTGTCTCCAGCCAGAGCAAGGGGTGTTCCTTCCTTCTCTGGCGCATAGTCACGAGGCATGGGACTAGTAAGGAAGGTCTTCATGATGTGATCTTACTCATCAAAGCATAGAGGATTATTTAACAATGCCCAGGCCTGTCTTAATAATTCTTGAAAGAATATTGGTTTTGCCCTGTGATGAACGGAGCGCTAGGTTTCCCTGTGCTCAGCAGAAAAGCTTTGTCAGGGTAGTAGTATTTCTGCAGGACAAAAAAAGAGATGTTCGGAGCGAGGCCAGTCCATTAGTGCATGTGTGGAGCGGGTTTGAGTGTCTCGGAGCTTATTCAAGCTTTGAGTAGTTTATTTCTGGTTGTGAAAGAAACAGAAGAAAAATTTGAACAACCTGACTTCTCTTTCTTCCTCTAGTATAAAATAGAGAAAATGGTGTTGCTGATCCAAAAATTAAATCTGTCTGTTTGGCACAACGATCCACTGGGACGTAACAGTTTCTTGGGAGAGATCGAAGTGGACTTGGCCAGCTGGGACTGGAGCAACAGGAAACTCAACTGGTACCCGCTGAAGCCCAGAGTAAGTGTGTCTCAGCTGCAGTCCTGCTTCCTGGCTCAATCCTGAAGCCTTTAGGGATGGCAGAAGTCCTTCCTGACTCCTCTGAGGTCTTTGGGTGGTGTGGTGGAGCAGAACAACCTGAATTGTACCTAGGGAAGTGCAGTAAAACACCCACAAACCCTGGATACGTTAGTGCAGTGTTCAGCGCTCTGAACACAGGCCTTCTCGGGTCTTATTTGGTGACTGATCTGTAGGGACACTTTCATAAATGTGATCTGACACTAATCAACAGAAGCTCAGACATGACTTTGCCTCTCTCTCTACTCACATAAAGATCATTCCTTAAAAATAGACAGCAGAGTACTAGGTGATGCAATTGAACATGCCTTGAGAGGTAAATATTCAGGTGCCACTTTTTGTAAAGCCTGTGCAGCTTCCTGCATGCTTCTGGGTTCAGAGGTCTGATTTGAGATCCCTTTTCAGAAAATAAAGGACATTTGTCTTTCAGAACTAAGACGCTTAATTATGTCCAGCTGGACAGGTCTGGAAGGGCAGCCTTGCTCTGAATCCTCAGGCTTTTGGTTCCGAGGGACTGAGTTTGAGAACAAAGCCACAAAGAAAGGAGCTGCCCTGAGAATGGGCTGCCCCAGCCGTGCAAAATCAGAATTTGTCTGTTTGTGCCCCTCCATTGAACTCAAAAGCTGTTTGCCTTGCTATGTTTACACAATCCCTCGTTTTATCAGTCGTAACTCTTTCTGTTTCAGAGCCTTTCTGCTGTTAATGGTGTGGATCATCGAGGAGTGATGAATTTGTCTATTAAGTACGTCCCTCCAGGAAGCCTAGGTAAAATGCGTTTCATGCATTAAGAAGTATTGCCCGTATGTAGACATGCAACTTGCAATCTGTTTAAGGGCTGGTTAAAGAGTAATCTCATTAGAGCAAGATCTTAAAGATCAGCACAAAGGCACAACTAGCAGTGCTTGATAGCACTGTCTGCAGCCTACATCTGATTTTCACATCTGGATTTATTGGGAAAGTGTTGGGGGGAGAGGAAGGGCTCAACAACCTCAAACTCATCAGCTGTTACGAGCACTGTGGGCACAGTAGGGTGCTGTGATGTGGTAGCAGCAACACACAGCCCCTCTTACAGTGGGGCAGGCAGAAGGTTGGGTTTGCCCAGCAGTTCCTTCTCCTTTCCTGTTTCAAAGCAGCACCAGCACATTGTGTCAGGAGCCCTCTGCAGCTGCAAGGGTGACGGGGCTGGTAGTAGTGCTGTGGCACCCAGGCAGAGGGGTGCAGAGCTCACAAGGGAGTGAGTATGCAGAGAAGTCATGTTGCTGCTCCCTCAGGTCCCTGGAGAGGAAGCCTGTCATTTTGCTAGCTATTATAAGGACTGGCACGACAGTTTTTCTCTTCTCCTAAATGGCAGGTCCCAAGAATCCTCCCTCTGGCGAAGTTCACATCTGGGTCAAAGACGTCAAGGACCTGCTGCAGTTGCGTCCTTCTGGAGTTGACTCCTTTGTGAAATGGTAAGTGCATGAGCATGGTATTGGCTTTGATCCCGGGTCAGTGCCTCCACAGAGCGCTATGTTTTCTTCTCTTTTCTCAGGCTCACCTAGCTGCGCCTCCATACTGTAAAGCCTTCATGTTGCATTGGGCTCTGTAGGAGAGAATTGCCCTTGTTATTCACTTGTGGCCAAATCAGGAAAATCCTTGCTGTGATAAAGCTCTTGGTCAATCACTGTCTGTGACTCACTCAGTGATTTGCCTCAGTAACATCCGAGTGAGAGGAATACGTGGGCCCTCCACCTCGGCCCACTCTGTTCATGTGAATTTGTGAATTTTGTCTTGATACGGGCTTCCATGCAAAGTTTGGGAATTTGTTAGGGACTCACCAGAACTGGCATACAGACGGTTGGATCCTGCTTTGATCTTCTCCAGAATTTAGTATGAGCATGTTTTCTGCAGTCTGCAACATCAGTTCTGCCTGTTATATGGGAGAAGGTGCTGCAAATATTCCAGAAAATTAAAGAGCTTTTAAGTGGATTTTCAAGATTTTTTCAGTGCTTTGAAGTGCTCACCATGTTTTTTGTATATTTTAAATCTTTACAGAGTTCTCCTGCAGAAAGGTTTGCTGCTCAAGAAGCCTAACTGACCATTTTGAAATGCCCTCTTAGGCATCTAAGTGATGAAAATTTATGAAAATAGAAATATGTGAAAGTAATGTCCATTTTTTAATGTAAAATGTCAGTTTGCAAAAAAAAATGCCAAAAGCAGGAAATTTTAAGCAAGTACCCTCCTTTCTGAAAATGTTTGCTTTTAAAATGGATTTTCTTGGCAAAAAAAAAGTTTCATCCAGGAATTAATGAACATTTCCTATTAAATCTACAGAGGTCTCTTATATTGAGACCCAATTCCTCATTTCTTCAGAACTGAGGCTTGTTTGGACCAAGGAACTTTGTAGGAACAATTCAAATCTTAGGTGATGTTCGGTACTACATGCTGTATTTTTTCTCCTCTTAAAGCTATGTGCTTCCAGACACCAGTAAGAAGAGTTACCAAAAGACCCGAATCATAAAAAGAGACACAAACCCTGTTTTCAATCACACTATTGTATACGATGGCTTTCATACAGAGGATCTAAAGGATGCTTGTGTTGAACTGACTGTGTGGGATCATGAAAAACTTACCAACCATTTCCTTGGAGGAATCAGGCTGGGCCTCGGGACAGGTGAGTGTCATTACACATTTACGTTTACATTAAATGAATACTGTTACCATATTGCTGAGCCACAAGATATAATGGGAAGTTGCAGAGCATTTTCCTGTCGGGGAGAAACCAGGGACGGGGAGTCTCAGTAACTGGTGAGAGTCGCGGTACTTGCACTGTCTCTTGGAGGGAGGGGGCCCTGGTACCATGATAGCAGCCCTCTATTCCCACATTTTCTGCCAACATCGCCTCTGAGGTCTGGCAAAACTCAAGAATCTCCTTGGGTCCGTCAGAGAGTTTTCTTGCTGTTAACAGGAAAACAGGCTGTGTTACAAATCAACATATATTGCTGCTCCTCCCAGGGAAGAGTGCTCAGAGATGAACTTGAATGCCATGTGGGACAGCACCACCTGGTGACTCTGTCCACATCACCTCCTCCCTTGAAATGCTTTAGTAGCAGGAATAACTAATATTTGAAAAACAGGGCGAGCTACACTAGTTCATCTGGTAGGTAATCAGTACTGAGGGTACATCAGCTGGAATTAAATCACAAATTGGAAGGGTGGAGTTGCTGGGGTGTAGACTGAGGTGTTACTGTTGGGGTTTTGTTTTGTTTTTATTTAGACGATGTAGTGCTGAAAGGCCTCAGCAGAGGTGCTATTTGCTCCACTGGGAGACAGTCACTGTCTCTGGGAGTTGATGGCATGAGGTTCCCATTCAGAGAAGGACTTAGACCTGTGCTTAGCTGGAAGTGTTTTACTTCAATGGGGTTGCTCATCCTTGAAGTTATGAAAATTCCAATATTTTTAAGCCACTGTTGTAAAGAGTAGATTCGACCATCTCCCATTGTCCAGCTGTCCAGCACCGACGTTTGTCCCTCTCTAAACATCCTGTCCTAGCTTTCAGTGTGCCCCATACCTAGGCTTTGACAGAGAGCATGTTCATCTTTCTATTTTTGTAAGTGGGATATCTAAGGTTTTCTGAACTATTTATTGTTAAGCAAGAGGGCTCTCTGAGAGGTGAAAGGCAAACAGAAGATTTCAGAATGTTGCAGTAAAGGATAACTGTTCCTTGAGGGCATCGGGAAAAGTCTCTTAGCTGGAAGCTCTGCCTTGCAGGTGCACCTATGTTTATTGGATTTGCTTGTGTGTTCTCTGTTTTCAGTCTCTAGCATGTCACCAGGAGGGTTGTGAACTATCCAGTGGGAGGGGGCAACAAGAATAAGCTCATAAGCAAGATATAAAAATACCAACCCCAAGATAAGCCGTGATCCAAATTTAGACCTTTATCTCATTGACAGGTAGCCGGCACGTGAAAATTTGGTTGAATAATCGACTTGGAATTAATGTACACACTTTTCCGCTATCATATGTTTGATTCCTATAAATAAAGTGTAGAGCAAGAGAATTTTAACAAATACCCCACCCTGTCCACAAGAAGATCTTTTAAGGGGAGAACCAAGCCTTTTAGACCTTCTTTACCATTCCAAAAGATGCAGAAAGAGCTCGAGCCCAATATTATTTTCCTTGGCAGGTTATGCTTAGGGTTCTTGCATTTTGTGGCTTTTACATTGACTTCATTCTGAACTCTGGTGTAAAATGGAGGTCGTTAGCAGAAGAACAGGAGGTGTTTAGGGTGCTACTTGCTGAGGGGAGGTCAGCACCTTTTATGTTAAGACACTGCCTGCAGCAGTTACATCCCTTTGAGTATTTCTGCATGGAGTAGAAACTCTTTGTGTAGCTCGCAGTGTTGTAGTTTTCTTGTTCTTTTCAGGTTTGAGCTATGGCATCTCTGTGGACTGGATGGACTCCACGCAAGAGGAGGTGGCCTTTTGGCAGGAGATGATGTCGGCTGCCAATGAGTGGATTGAGGGATTGCTGCCACTGCGCTCGCTGGCAGGGAGGAAAAAACTGAAATAACCTACCGTTCCTGCCGTAGAAAGGCTGAATGTGTTCATTAGAATTAGGAAACTTCCTGCACCGAGGTGACAGAGACCATCCACGGGGCTGGCAAGTGTCAGGTTAATAAAGCAATTGATGGACAGCACTTTGGAGATGTTAAATGTTAAGTACTAATTCCCTGACAGAGGACATGGAGGATGCCAAACTGATGCTATACTTGATTTTGTCCAAGAAGAAACTTAATTTGCCTTTTTATTTAATCATTTATATTCAGTATCTTTGAATTCCATTAAGCTCTGGGAACACTGCCAGAAGGAAAAGGAGATATAGATATTTTTATTTTTTTACTGTTTCTTGTGCCTTTTTCTTTTTTTTTTCTGTGCAGAGGTGTAGTTGTACTAAAGCAGCAGCATGGTATTATTCATATTGCCCTGCAAGTGGTACACTTTGTACTTGATGTAGAATTGCTCCAAGACACCAGCAGCACAGAATGGGAACGTTGCATTTGTCGCTGGTGATAACACGTCCCTAACGTGAGGAAAATTGAGATCCAAGGTGAATCTAAAGAAAGAGAGGACTATTTGAAGCAGAAAATGAAGCAACCTGAGGAGGATAACAATGAGGAATTCAATATATTAGTTTCTTTCTGCTTGAAATGAAAGAGAGAAGTGATGGTCCTGCAGCTAGTGGGATTTTGCAACCGGGGCTTTTCCTCACTTTCCCACAGGCTTCCTCAGCGACCGCAGGCAAGTTTCTCTATGAAAGGACAATTTCAGTGCAATATAAACTAAAGTGGTTGCCCAAGTGTAAAATACGGTTACATTGCTAATGGGCCTAATCGCACCTTTGAAACGCTTTGCGTGCAAAACATTTCAATGTGAAATGATGATGTAGGAAACAGTCTCACGTTAGCCTGGCACAACGGGTCAGGCAAGAAAGGTCAAAACCACGTCGGAACGCAGGAGGCGTTGGGAGCCGGTGGGAGAGGTAAGTAGGGAGCGAACGAATGTGAAGGGTAGCTGCAGAGCTGCAGTTGCCTGGGGTGGCCTCCTGCCTCCGCGTACCCTGCTGCCCGTCTGGGCTTCCTTTCCCCTGATGCCTGTCAGTGAGTTGTCCGTGGCTGGAATTGCCTTTTCGACAGTAGCTTGCACGAACTTTGCATCTGGCACGTTGACAGTGGCAGAGTGGCGTTGTGAATGCATTTGGAAATGCAGCTTTGTAATTTCTATTTTGGATGTACATGTCGTGATTAAATAGAATGTTTTTCTTTCGTCATCAACTGGTGTCCTTGTACCTATTTTTAGCATGGTCTGAGTAACGGAAAAGCAAGGAAAAGAGGTGTTAAATTTTGTCACGTCAAAATGAATCATTTTTGCCCAAGGGCAAGTGAAATGTCATGGAGAAATATTTTTTGTAGCTATCCTACCCTATGTTTTGGCTCTGTGAATATTTTGATATTCTTCTTTAATGTATTGATTTTATTTAACTCGAGCGCAGCGTAAATTTTCAGCTTAGCGAAGATGGTTGTAAATAAACAAATGGGAAAATGTACACTTAAAATAACAAGACTTTTTCATGAAATGAAGGTGTTTGGGAGATAATCAGCAGCTTTCATGGGAAAAAAAAAAAGAAAGAAGACGGTTTTGCAACTGGAAAAAGATAATACTTGAAAATGTACCAGTCATAGTACTGAAAGCACTAAGAGAGAGCCCGTAGAGCAACAGAATTAAATAACAACTATCTAATGAAGGACATGATATATATAGCATGTCAGCCCAAAGATACTTTGTATGGGCTCCAGCCTGGCGTGTTTTGTTCACCAAGGTTTGGTCATGTATTGCCTTTGTGGGATAAAATAGCAATACTGGGCCTAAGATGAGAGTTTTTAAATTATTATCTTTACCTGTTCAGGTGCTGAACACATGAATATTTATGCATACATATAACTTAACTACTACGAGGAGCCCAGCTCATGGGAGCAGTGGCTTGTTGCAGTGAAGTTACCCGCAGGACTGCTGTTCTCACCCCGAGCACCTCCTTATCCCGCAGGGTGCTCCCGGGGGGTGGAATTTCTGCTGTGGCTCCGAACGCAGTTGGTAACGCCGGGGGCTTCGGCTCGGGCAGGTCTGGGTCTCTTCCTGGAGGGTGCAGCTGACTTCTCTCCATCGCAAAAATGGAGTCATCCTGCCTCCTCCTCCCCTTCCTCCTCACGTGCAGTATTAGCACACGCGGTTGTGACGATGTTGCCAAAACTGCTGTTTTTGCGTCAATGGAGCTGGAAATGTTTGTGTTGTAACATCTTTTTCATTGATGGTGCCAATAAGGGGAGAAAAAGGGGGTCGGTGGGCCAGTTTCATCCCAGCGCCGTTGCTTTTAGGAACTTGGCCCAGGACTTTGTGAACGGACTATTTTTGCATTCAGATTCCATAGAGGATTTTTGTTAATCTTTTGGTGGCTTGTTTATTTAAATTAAGCCCTGATTAACTTAAGAAGCTTTCTTTGACATTTAATAGTTTATCAGAGTAAAAGATTACATTGCCAAACCACACGCACATTTGTAACACAGCTGTATCTGAGGTAGTAAACTTTGCTATGGCGTATCTGCTCCACTTACCGCGCAGAAAGCACTTTATCAGAAAAAGACTTAAGGCGCTTTTATTGTCAGTGGCATATGGAGGAGTGGAGGAGCTTGTGAGTGTAAGGTTAACGGCCTGTTTGTATGCGGCTTATGATGTCGACATTTGTTGTCTGTGAGTGCTACACGTAACAGAGACTCAGGCCCGTAGGCATGTGCTGATGGTAACGAGTTGGGTAGTCACTGGTAAAAAAAAAAAGAAAAAACAGATGGAAAGTTTTCTGACTGTATTTACTAGTTCATTGTAGAATGGGTTAAGCAAAGTTCCGTAAGAAGGTAAGACTTCATGCATATAGTAAACGTGTTTTATGTCTCTCATTTCTCTGAATACATGCAGGTACCAGTGACGCAGTGGGGGCTGGCTGCGGTCGCTGAGCTCTTGCTGGATACAGAAGTGACCCCTGGGACTGAGCAGGCCGATGAAATGCGAGGTTACAGGCTGGCACCCTTAGGCACTACCCTCTTAATATAAAATACAAACCTCAGTATCTACAGTAGAGCTGGGCAACTGCTTTCCATGAGTGTTCCGCATTTGAGAGTGAATGTGCTTCCTTTGAGTTTATGCCTTATTTATATAACTTTTTCTCGGGAACCTTACAAGCAAAAAAAAAAGGAGAGAAAGCAAGAGTCTAGAAAGTATTTCAGCTCCATCAGGCAAATACAATCTGTGGCCTATCCATTCACAACTGTTCGTATTACAGGTATCAGAAACTATTGAAAATATTTTGGAAGCTAAGTAAAGAAGAGAAAGAAAGAATTGTTGAATCTTGAACAACATCCAGTGAATGAGTGTCTCAGAGGAGATGGAAAAGAAGTGGTTGAATTAATTATCCATTACTAAATATTTGCCCAGCTTTATCCTTCACCAAGACAGGGAAAAAAAATTTGAAGTACTATGAAGATTCAGGGAGAAAATTATGCTGGCCAAATAAACCCATGTAATAATGTGATCTGTTGAAATAAAAATGCTGTATTTTTGCAGGCTTGTTAAATTCAGTAAAAAAAACGTGTCGAATAGACCGGTGTATCAAAAACTGAATAAATAAACACACTTTGCTCCTGCTCAGAGTGAGCATATTCAGCACCAGGTTTGGTTGGTTGTTTTAGTTGGCTGTTTTGTACTTAAATCTTTCATGGCTTAATCCTTTTTCTTTTCCACCTGCCTGCTTTCCACCCCCCAGGTGTCCTGGTCATCTGCTGTTACTGTTAAAACGGATGCCCAGGAGATGTCCCTCTGAGCGCTGTCGCGAAGGTTGTCAGGAGACATTGGGAAGCTCGCTGCAAAGCACCATGCAAAAGCATGTTTGCAAAAACGCTGTAAGGTATGTGTTACTGGAGCCGTGCTGCTCTCAGCAGCATCGCTACTGTGCCAGGTCCTACTTGACCTGTGGAAAGCTCTTGAAAC